CAACGGGACAGGACACAGGATTGGCAGGACCCCCGGCAGGAGAGCAGTCGGCGGAACCTCCAACAGGACAGGACACAGGGTTGACAGGACCCCCGGCAGAAGGGCAGACGACGGGACCCCCAACGGGACAGTACACAGGGTTGGCAGGACCCCCGGCAGGAGAGAAGTTCGTGGGACCTCAAACAGGACAGGACACAGGGTTGGCAGGACCCCCGGCAGAAGGGCAGTCGGCGGGACCCCCAACGGGACAGCACACAGGGCTGGCAGGACCCCCGGCAGGAGAGTAGTTCGCGGGACCTCCAACGGGATTGGACATGGAGCCGGAAGGACCCCCAGCGGAACCTCCATCGGCATAGGACATGGGATTGGCAGGACCCCCGGCAGGAGAGTAGACGGCGGGACCCCCAACGGGACAGGACATGGGATTGGCAGGACCCCCGGCAGGAGAGTAGACGGCGGGACCTCCAACGAGACAGACATGGAGTTGGCAGGAGCCCCAGCAGAACCTCCAACGGACCAGGACATTGGGTAGGGACTTGAGACATGACTCAAGTAGGGACTCGAGAGGAGACTCGAGAGGGGAACCAAGGGGGAACTCGAGAGGGGAACCAAGGGGGAACTCGAGAGGGGACTCGAGAGGGAACTAGAGAGGGGACTAGAGGAGAGACTAGAGGAGGGAATAGAGGAGGGACTAGAGGAGGAACTAGTGAAGGGAACTCGAGAGGGGACTTGAGAGGGGAACTAGAGAGGGGACTCGAGGAGGGACTAGAGGAGGGACTAGAGGAGGGACTAAAGGAGGGGACTCCAGAGGGGACTAGAGGAGAGACTAGAGGAGGGACTAGAGAAGGGAACTCGAGAGGGACTCGAGGGGAACTAGAGAGGGGACTCGAGGAGGGACTAGAGGAGGGACTAAAGGAGGGACTAGAGGAGGGACTAAAGGAGGGATCTCGAGAGGGAACTCGAGAGGGGACTGGAGAGGGGACTGGAGAGGGGACTCCAGAGGGGACTAGAGGAGAGACTAGAGGAGGAACTAGAGAAGGGAACTCGAGAGGGGACTCGAGAGGGGAACTAGAGAGGGGACTCGAGGAGGGACTAGAGGAGTGACTAAAGGAGGGACTAGAGGAGGGAACTCGAGAGGGAACTGGAGAGGGGACTCCAGAGGGGACTAGAGGAGAGACTAGAGGAGGGGCTAGAGAAGGGACTCGAGGGGACTGTGGCAGCTGGGGCCGGGACCATGGCTGCTCGGGCCAGAACTGGGGCTGAAACCATGGCTGCTGGGGACTGTACTAGGTCTGGAACCATGGCCGGAAATATGGCTGTATGATCCAGTTCTGAAGCCGGAAACATGGCTGTAAGGTCCGGTTCTGAAACCGGAAACATGGCTGTAAGGTCCGGTTCTGAAGCCGGAAACATGGCTGTAAGGTCCGGTTCTGAAGCCGGAACCATGGCTGCTAGGACCGGTACCTGAGTACGAGCTGGCTTCCTGTCCTTGCTTCTTTTAGAAGTCTTTTGGAGGCTCCGTGGACCACTTTAAGTGACAAAATAATTCCTTTATTTCAAGGCTACAATATTCAGAGACAGAACAGAACACTCACCGCAGTTTACTCACAACACAAGACGAACCGACACTGAACACAGGAAGAGACAAGACTAAATACAGGAAGGGGTAATCACAAGACGAGACACAGAGGAGAAACACAAGGGCCACAGGTGAAAACAATCAGACAACTAGACACACCAGGGAAACTAACGAACGGGAGGAAAAACACAGGAAGAAGGACCAGACAATATACAAGGATGAAAATACCCATAACCAGACATACAAAACTACAACACAGACAGATCAAGTAGGCTATAGAGACAGAAATAAAGTATATCTAATCTTGTAATAATATATAGTCTTTATATTTTAAATAATCATAATAATAATGTAAATGTTTACATTACACTTCTTTATTTGTTATGCTCATACTTTTACCTTTACAATCGTTTGCTTTAATATGCAGTATATTTTTTGTATATTTTTGTGTTTGCTTCCTCCTGCTCCCTTTCGGACACAAACTGTATGATTTATTATTATTATTAATATGAAGATATTATTAAGATAAGATAAGATGTTACTTTATTGATTGAACATTTTAGTTTAGAATGTGCTGTCCCACGGTAATTCAGAAGGCTCACAGGTCACATTCCGACCATTATTTAAAACAATACTGTCGGTGCTTTCCCACCGTCTACAGTTTGATTTGTATAGAGGGAGCTCTGTGGCTGATTGGCCGGCGATTAGGTGTGGCGCATTTATCATAGGTGATCAGAGCTAACTGCCTGCCGTCAGATTTAATTTAAAAACAGGTCTGATTTTAAGCTTTTATCTTCAGTAGACTCGACTACTGCAATGGTGTCTTCACAGGTCTCACTAAAAAATCTATTAGAAAGCTGCAGCTGATTCAGAACGCTGCTGCTCGAGTCCTCACTAACACTAAGAAAGTGGATCACATCACTCCTGTTCTGAAGTCTTTACACTGGCTTCCTGTGTGTCAAAGAATAGATTTCAAAATACTGCTGCTGGTTTATAAAGCACTGAATGGTTTAGGCCCAAAATACATTTCTGACCTCCTGCTAAATTATGAACCATCCAGATCTCTGGACATGGATACAATTCAAAGAAAACGAAAATAAAAATTGACAGACCTTTTTGGCAGCAGCGCTGCGACAAGCACTATCAGCAGCAGCTTAGAAGAACAAGTGCAAGATGATGAAGAGAATGATGAGGGCGCAAGTTCAGATATACAGCCAGCCTCCTGCGTTCATGATGAGGGACAGAGTTGAGCTGGTGGAAGAACCAGCTCAACTGACACATACAAGTGCAGGGCAAGAGCAAGAGGTGGGTGAGAATTATCCCTTGAACTCAGTGGCGTTTTCTCCTGGAGGCCAAGGAGGCTTCCCCTGTTTTTTTGGATTGTAGTTATAATTTAACTAAATAAAAACACTTCGTTTAGTTTCGGTAATTATTCTGCTGGCCCATCTCTCCCCCATTCTCATTGAGTATTTTACAGCGCCCCTCTAGATGTTATGGTGAAACAGTAGATTGCACTCTGTTGCGAGAGGAGGCTAGCCGAAATTGTCTTCCCTTGGTGAAAATAAATCGAGGGATTGACCAATCAGATGAGGCTCACGTCATGCCTCACAATCCAATCAAATCGCATCAACTTCAGTTCGTACTGTAACTGTCATCACTGCCCTTAAAAAGTAGCAAGCAACTGAAGCAAGTGCAATTATGGAGGGAGGAGATTTGGAGTATTTCATCAAAAATAATTTTAAACTAAAAATGAAATCTGATGACAGGCCAATGCCCAAACTGGAGCTGTGTACAGAGAGAAAAAAAAGGAGTGAATCGGACGTAAAACTTTAAAAAATAAACAGCGGATTTCTAACATTTGACATTTCATGTGGCCGGACTGGGTCAGTTTCCAGGGCTGAAAATAATACTTTAATCTGAGTATGCTTGCTTTTCTCTTTGGAAGTCAACACATAACGGCATTGTAATACACGGTTCGGCTGCATTAAATATTACACATCTGCCGTAGTTCTTTATTTATAGAGCCCTGATTAGAAGACTTCTGGACAAACTGCCACCAAAACTGAATATGTGACGTGGATCATAACTGTATCAGCAATTAAACAACATCTTCAATTTCTCTTCACACAACACGACTCCTTGCAGTATCAATATTAATTCGGCTGACTTTTTCCAATTGGTAGCTAGGTTATATTTACCCCATAACGGTGCACAGCTGATATAAAAGGACTTGTAGTTTTTAAAGATATTACTGATTTTCTTTGAATATAAGAATGTAAATACTGAGTTGAGAGAATAGTCAGGGGTTTTGGGTGATGGGAGACACATCTATGGATTCAGAATTTCAATAGCTTACCATTAAATGACGGATATACCTTTCTGTCTGTGATGTTTTACAAATCAGATATTAATGTGTAGAAGTAAAACATGAGAAATAATATAGCAATATCCTGTAAAATGATGTGAAAACATGAATAAAACTACACATCTTCAGATGTTATACATACATAAGTGTCCTACACTAATAATACAAAGTTATTATGGCATTGTATGCTGTGTGTACCTTGTGTGCACCGCCTAGTGGTTAAAGTACGTTATTGAATACGTTATATTTGATGAAAAAAATATTAAGAGTACATACATAGGGGGAAGTAGAAGGTCAATGATAGAAATATAGAATATAACCCTAAACCCTAACCCTATCATTTTTCATGGTGGGGCTAAGCTATTTATTGGTATGGCTGTAGCCTACCCCAGCCATACCCTGGAGCCGCCACTGCTTGTGTGACAGTCAGACAGTGAAGACTTTACAGCGGCCGCTGCCGTGAGTTAACGGGAGAATAAACTCTGGTGGACGAGCAGCAAAACGGAGGCTGAAAAGAAAAACCGGTTCCGAACCAGAAGAGCGCAAGCACGGAGCTAGAACGGGAGCTGCATTGGTGTGAAAGGGGTAAGTGAGACCTCATTAAGACTGCACGGTTCTTTAGTCTAATACTCAACAACACCGTATACATACACCTTAGGTCTTATGTTCCATTGAACTTAGCTCAATACATATATATAGAAAAAGAAAGAGTTGTAATAAGACAATGAAACTCTTCACATTAAAGTGCAAGTTAAAAATAAGAAATACATTATTTATTTATTTTTTATATAAAGTAAAGTAATATAAAGACAGTAATTGCCAATAAATGTTAACAAGAATGTACCAAACAAGCATAATGATAAGTATATATAAATTAACAAACAGAGGTGTAAGTATAATTATATGAATAGGATTTTTGTATTATTATTTGTCGTTATCATTATTTTCCATTTCTTAAAACATGTACACGTTCTGCAACCTCCCATGGAAGAAGTGTTATCAGTGTGATAGTTGGGACTGGGCCGTGGTGATAAGTGACGATGTGAGTATTCTTACCAAGGCATGCAGGGTCTCAATCTCCACCTGCAGGGAGTGCCACTGCTTCCGGGCCTCGGCCAGCTCGGCCCGGGCCTCCCGCAGGGCGGCGCCGCCGAGGCTCACCTGCGCCCATGCTGCCTCTTCCTGGGTGAGGAGACAGGCATTAAATGAGGAACACAAACCCTAACACCACCACTAACATCTCACCCAAAAACACACACACAGCCTGCTGCACAGTTGGAAATGAAAGGTACATCCATCCATCTTCTCCCGCTTATCCGTGGTCGGGTTGCGGGGGTAGCAGTTCCAGCAGAGAGCCCCAAACTTTATTTTCCCTGGCCACATCAACCAGCTCTGACTGGGGGATCCCAAGGCGCTCCCAGGCCAGCGAAGAGATATAATCCCTCCACCTGGTCCTAGGTCTACCCCTTGGTCTCTTCCCAGCTGGACGTGCCTGGAACACCTCCCTAGGGAGGCGCCCAGGTGGCATCCTAACTAGGTGCCCAAACCACCTCAACTGGCTCCTTTTCGACGCAACGCGAAGGAGCCAGGCGTGCATAAGTTTAAAACCAAATCCTTTACTTTGGTCGTTCATTTTCAGCAGGTGACGCATGTATCACATTACACGTTTGATAATAAACAGGCAAAACTACAATAAAACAACATATAAATAAATACATTATAAGTATTACCGTTAGTTTCATAAACAATATACATTTGTGTCAATACTTTTATACAACTTCTCATCAGCACAGTAGCGTATCTAACGTGTAACAAGCACATCACTGCGCGAGGCTGCATACACTCTGCACTGTCTAATGAGTGATGTCTACTGCGTTTCACCTGAAGGACCCCTGAGCTGCCCTCTGTGCCTGTGTGAGCTTTAATCCCATTAAATGTAACTTCACCTACTAAATATAAAAATTGGCATTGCACATGAATACATCAGAAAACTACAGATTTATTAAATACAAAAAAATAAAACAATATATAAATAAAGTGCATTTGCAATACAATACAGTTTCATGTCCACTACTAGGCCCAATATTAGTGGGTCCCACACAAGGTCAAAAGGGATTCTCTAAATATTTGTTCCACCCCTGCCTACATATCAGAAACACCACTCCAATGTAGCTAGAAATGTGGAGATACCATTGCTATTGCCGAAAACACACTACAGGAAAGGAAAAACCCCTAAAACCATAATATGGCCTCTTTAAAAGGCCACATCTGAATGGAATGCTAAATCAACGTCAGATATAATAACCAATGGGTTCCCAGATTGCCTTCTGGACAATGTATAACACCTAATTTTATCTCCGAATAGGCAGTTAATGTGCATCCAACCATAAATTGCTCAAAAAGGATAGGTTGATACTAACTACTATACTAAACTAACTGACCGAGAACATTTGTTATACCAGGATCTTGTCCTGTTGCCTACAAATGTGAAGAATCTGTTTATATAGATTAGTAAAATGGTGACACCCCTACGGTAATGTTCAACCTCAAGTGATAACACAAGGAAACTTTTTGAACATGATGATTTTTTGTTTGTGATCGTTTTTTGTTTTTTGTATCAATCATTCTTTTGACAGGATTTTTAAAAAAGTGCTTTATAAATATAATTAATATTATCAACCATTCTTTCCCACTTGCAGTCAGACAGCGAGAGGTGAAGCGGCCGCAGGTGCTGCTGTTGGTAGTGTGTGTTTCAGCGGAGGTAAGCAGACTGCAGAGCAGACCCCAGGCCTGTGTGCAAACACAGCTGTGTGTACTCTGTACAGCTGTTAGGAGCTCCTCTAATCCCGTTCAAACGCAGTGAAGCGGAGAAGCTGCCTCAGCGCAGTTATGACAATATTGTGACAGTAAAAACTAAAGAAAAAGAAGTTAAGTTAAATAAGTTATCTCTGTTTACTGTATTAATCCAATGATGCTCAGATTCTGTTTCAATGCATCAAGCATGTTTTAGTTAAAAGTAAAATGACAATCACAATTAGGCCAATATGATCCTCCTCCTTATTGATAACTCAAACAAACAAGCAAAGCATTTAATCAGGTACTTACTGAAACTACTTAAAGTAGCAATAATGTAATGTAAAAACAATATGTCGCCCTGAAATGTAATGAAGTAAAAGTGCGAAGCAGCCTCTCCTGGATATATAGTGGTGCAGAAACGAGTCCTCAAACCCGGAAATTAGTTAACATGTTACTACTTTCGGTTCCCTTGTCTCAAAGTCGACAGTTTTTTTAATGTGTTTGCCATGTGACCGTGATGTAGTTTGTTAATAGCCTAGAATGACCTTTTGACCTCTGGGGAATGCATTAAAGCTTCAAAAGCTCATTATTCTGCTGAAGTTGATATTGTACAATTGAAAACCAAGCCCCAAGGAGGCGAGGTAGAAGGAAAATACTATAACTTAATAGTTATACAAACATGATGACCAAACAAACACACTTAGAAACACATTTTGTAAAACAAAGGCCTAGGAAAAACGTCTCTAACGTAACTAAATAGCAAAGCAATGTAAAGAATGCAATATATCTTGCCAAATGTTTCATGAGGAAGAAACACATTAGAGAACACCAGCGATCCATTCGTACGGTTTGTTAGTGTAAAAATAACTCCCCAGGGTATCATTTACTCAAACAGGGTCTCTTAAAAATAATGAAGATTGAAAGTACTTTTGTTGTCTAAGTCAGAGTTTTCACTATAGCTTGCATGCACATGTTGGCATCTTCAATCAAAATCTTCCCACGAAGCAAAATCTGTTTACTATCATTATATAATATCCAGCAGATGACCTGGTATCATTCACAGTACAGCACTGTTTCCTCTGTCAATATCCCCCTGTGATGATTATGGACATCCTGCAGGCTTTTGACTGCAGCGTTGTGTAGGTGGACAGTCAAATAAAAGTCTGATCCAAACCACATCATTTTATGAAACCTGCTTCATTTCAGCATTGTGCTAGCTTGCAGCAGTTAGCCAAGGCACTTTATTGTCGATGTTAGACCAAAGTCATTGTGCTGGTGCACACTGGGAAAATAAAAGACTGCCCCTTTTTCTTTTTTTAAAAACAGTTCCTACTTTAAAATGAAATGCTATCACTAGATGACAATTCTGCATGACAAAGCTCAGATTGTAAATTACCTCATGAATATTTAATGAAGATCAGGGATCATTTACCCAGTAACTGATCATAACACAATATTGTAAATATGTGCTATAGTAAAACATTCAGTCACGAGACAATCAAGAACAAAAATCTGCAAGATGGTCGGTCGGTCGGTCGGTCGGTCGGACGGACACACACACACACACACACACACACACACACACACACACACACACACACACACACACACACACACACACACACACACACACACACACACACACACACACACACACACACACACACACACACACACACAACACACACACACACACACACACACACACACACACACACACACACACACACACACACACACACACACGTAACCCCTGCAGCCTTCCACCACAGTCAAAAACAAGGCTAACATTTAAGAAGCATCCCTCAGCCTCTGAGAGCCTGGAGCTGCCTCTGAAGGTGTGTCTGGCTGGCAGTGGGCCAGGGCAACATAAACAAAGCTTAAAACAAAGGATAGGATGCAGGACGGGCTTCTTACATCACTGAGAACTCCTCCGTGTGTCCTGGATGCTGCTTCCCCAGAGTGGCTGGGCCCAGCGAAGCCAGGGAGCAGATTGGACCCGGCCCCCAGGCTGGGACTCCTTCCCTGGTCGCACTGCGCTGTGATTCGGTCGAGGAGCTGGGTGAGCTCCATCGCTGTGCCATCCTCCAACTCCCCTCCTGCTGCTGCTAACAGAAGATCGCAGGAGCCGGCCCGCTGCAGCTGCAGAGCCTGGGCTGCCTGCAAACAGCGGGGGGAGGGAGAGGGAAAGAGAGGGGGGGGGAGACAGAAAAGGGATGACTGAATGATGTGAAGAGTGAGAAGAGGAAAACAAGACAAAGAGGGGGATGAAACTTGTTTGCGAATGGATAGGTGGATGTGAGAGAGAAAAATAGAGCAAGAGTAGACGGTCAATAGAGCCCCGTGGAACTCCCTTCTCCAAGGTGACAGGGTCAGAGACAGTACTACCCAACCTGACGCATTGAGTACGGTCGGTTAGATAACTTTGAAACCAGCAAATGGCGTTATGACATAAACGAGACATCAACATAACATTAGACAGAATGTGGTGATCTACAGAGTCAAATGCTTTGGCTAGGTCAATAAACAATGCAACACAAACAGATTTGTTATCCAGAGCAGCCTTAATATCGTCTAAGACTTTCAGACTGCAGTTACAGTACTGTGCTTTGATCTGAATCCAGATTGCATAGGGTTAAGGATGTTGTGTGAATTTAAAAAAAGTTTTAGCTGAGTAGAAACTAGGGACTCAAGAATCTTTGATAACACAGAAAGATTTGAGATAGGACGATAGTTATTCTACTCAGTGGGATCAAGAGCTTGCGTGTTTATGATCACTTTTTGTTCAACAGGATAATCTCCATATATTAACCCCACTTTGTGATTGATGAAACAAATGCAATCACCAGAAGTAAAAAGCTAACGTAAAGCCAAGTTAAAGGCGGCTAATGCTTGATGACATTTGTTAGTTTACTTGTTAGCATCCGCCATTTGTATGACACTGTATGATTTAGACATCCAAGAGTGGAGTATTCACTGATTTGTATTATGTCTAAAAAAAGAGAAAGTAAAACTCTTGTAAGCTTATTTTAACAACAGACCTTATTTCAGGCTTCTAACCACAACAACATTCCAAAAATGTTGACTACGAAACAAGGGGACAAGAAATGGTAAAATGCTAAGTTATTTCCAGGTTTTAGGACTCATTATGCACCACTCTACAGAGAAGGCCTGTGTGAGACTGCATACATATGCGATAACACCATCAGAAAGAAAGAGAGAGAGGTGATTTGGAAGGAAAAAAGAAGAGGAGTAAAAAAGATGTCAGCACATTTAGTGACCTCAAACTCCCGGTGCATCTCCTGCAGATCCGTCATGGAGTGACGGAGGTCTGCCTGCAGGGTGGTGCTGCTCTGGTCTACCTTCCTCTTGGACTCCCTGAGCACAGCCACCTGCTGCTCCAGACGCAGGGTGGTAATCTCCTCCGTCTCACACCTAGGATTCCAACAGACAAACAGTAAGCCACCTTCTTTGTTTAATTGAAAAATGATGTACTATGGGATGCAGAAAATACAAAAAAATCCTAGTTTGAACACAGGAAGGAAAGAGAAAATATGAATTTTTACATTTGGTGCATTAAGTGGTGGAATATTGTAGTTTAAACTGAAAGATGTCATATTGGTGTTTGACAATCTTCTTGGATGGATTACTCAACTGGCCAACCATAGCCCCCTTTTGGCCTTCATCTACAAAATGTTTCCTAATAGGGACCAGGAAGAGATTCAAACAGACTACAAAGAGAACATAACAGGTTTATAGAGACACAAATTGCGCATTTCCACTACACGGCCTCACTCGGTATGGCTAGGCCTCCCTTGTTAGGACTGGCTCACTTTATGGCGCATTTCCATTACAGTTTAGGAACTGGGGTAGTATCTATATAGTAACACAGTGTAGGCGGAGCCGTGACGTCATCTTCAATGAGAAAAACAACATCAGCAGTTAGCTGTTAGCACTCAAGCTCACAGCTCCTCATATCTGTTCAAAAACTAGACAAAAGTTAAACAAACAAACCACAGACTGCCTGTGTCATGGCGAATACAGTCGCTGGTTTTTTTATGTCTGTATAGGCCGTTGTTGTGAGTGTGGACGGTCGGAGCATACACTGCGTTAGCTTAGCCAATCTCCATTTAGACAACACGCATTTTAAAAGGTTTTTCGCCTGCCGTCTGTCTGCAGACTTGTCAAAGCATTAATTCATAGTTTTTACTAACTGGTATCAGTATGTTGTTACTTCGGCATCATTTTGAAACGTGTATTACAATTAAATCACGGTCAAATATGTTCATCTTGTTGTAGTTGTAGCCCCTTTGCCAGCGATTCTCTCTCTAGTTTAACATACTCAGCCCGACTCAGCCTGGTTGTTGGCCCGGAAAGAACCTCAATTCTATGGGGCCAGAAAAACTGTGAAACTAGCCGGTACTACGCTAAGTGGAAACGCAACCAAAAACGGGCCCCGCACGTCTCGGCACGCTTAAAGCGAGCTCCGCGCTATAGTGGAAATGCGCCGAAAGACTCACAACAACAACAAAAAAACATAGAATTACTGAAAAGAGAGTCAAAACAACTACGAAGGGATTCAAAATGACTACAAAAAGATATACAATCGTAAAGAGACGCAAAACAACTAGAAAGAGAAACAAAAAATTGCGGTGTCACTCTGCATCAATACATAAGGAAAAGTGCCAACACAAAGCCCGTCCTGGATGTGTATGCAGGTTGGCCCACAGGGCGGGAACTGCCTGAGTTAGGTGACACGTGGGAGAAGTTTCTCTGTGGCGGTAGGCCCGTTCTCATCACATAGCACTCCCCTATCCTGCGGCCTGCCCCAGGGTTCTGTTTTAGTCCCCCTTCTTTTTGCCCTGTACATGCTGCCATTGGGCCACTTAATTAGCCAATTTGAAGGTGTCTCGTATCACTGTTACGCAGATGATATCCAGATATACTTCTCCTTCAAACCTGTCAAAATGGAAAAAGTAAACACCCTCATTACATGTCTGTCTGCAATTGAGGAGTGGATGTCAAGCAACTTCCTACAGCTCAATGCATCAAAAACGGAAGTCTTGATCTTGGCGGCTGATAACATCGCCTCTAAGGTAGCAAGCCATCTGGGTTCATTCAGTGGTAACATAAGGGCAAACATAAAAAACCTTGGTGTTACCTTCGATCAGTCTATGCTACTAGACAAACACATACAACTTCTGACCCGTACCTGTTTTTTCCATCTCAGGAACATTGCCAAGCTCAGGGGGGTTCTATCCAATGCAGAACTGGAGATGGCTATCCATGCCTTTATTTCATCCCGGCTTGATTACTGTAATGCTCTGTTCTCCTGCCTCAACAAAACATCAATACACCGGTTACAACAGGTCCAAAATGCTGCAGCCAGATTACTGACTCGGTCCAAAAAAACATGCCACATCACTCCGATTATTTCTGCCCTGCACTGGCTCCCTGTCCATCTCAGAACCCAATTCAAAGTACTGGTCTTCACACATAGAGCTGTCCATGGCCACGCCCCAGCCTACATCAATGACCTTATCCACCCGCACATCACAACCCGGGCCCTGAGGTCCTCTGAGCAAGGCCTCCTAAGGGTGCCCCGAACCAGGCTAAAGACTAAGGGTGACCGTGCCTTTGAGGTGGTGGCCCCAAGGCTTTGGAACAAACTCCCCCAGATAATAAAAACCTCTGCCTCAATAGAGATTTTTAAGGGGCAGTTAAAGACACACCTGTTCCGACAGGCCTTTGGGTCGTCGGAGGAGGTGAGTTAATGGCTGTCTTTTTTATTGGTGTTTTGTCGTATGTTTTATCCTATGTATTATCTGCTGCTGTTTTATGCCTTTTATTCTACATGTTATAGTTGTACTTTGAATTGTGTCCTGTGTACTGTACTGTAAAGCACTTTGTACATCCGTGTTGAGAAGGGTGCTATATAAATAAAGTTTTACTTACTTACAAGGCAAGGCAAGTTTATTTATATAGCACTTTTCAACACAAGGCAATTCAAAGTGCTTTACAAAAAATGAAAGAGATTAAGAAAATGGCATTTAAAATCAGTCATTAAAAAGAAAAGCTAATAAAATAAACATTAAAAGAAAAAATACATGGATAAAAGTTACAGTGCAGTCAATTAAACATTAAAAGAAAAAAGTACATGGATCAAAGTTACAGTGCAGTCTAAGATATGAATAGTTCAATTAAAAGCAGCGACAAAAATAAAAGTCTTCAGCCTGGATTTAAAAGTAGTCAGAGTTGCAGCGGACCTGCAGGTTTCTGGGAGTTTGTTCCAGATATTTGGAGCATAATAACTGAACGCTGCTTCTCCATGTTTAGTTCTGACTCTGGGGACAGAAAGCTGACCAGTCCCTGAAGACCTGAGAGATCTGGATGGTTCATAATTTTGCAGGAGGTCAGAAATGTATTTTGGGCCTAAACCATTCAGTGCTTTATAAACCAGCAGCAGTATTTTGAAATATATTCTTTGACACACAGGAAGCCAGTGTAAAGACTTCAGAACAGGAGTGATGTGATCCACTTTCTTAGTGTTAGTGAGGACTCGAGCAGCGGCGTTCTGAATCAGCTGCAGCTTCCTAATAGATTTTTTAGTGAGACCTGTGAAGACACCATTGCAGTAGTCGAGTCTACTGAAGATAAAAGCATGGACAAGTTTTTCCAAATCCTGCTGTGACATTAGTCTTTTAATCCTAGATATATTCTTTAGGTGATAGTAGGCTGATTTAGTAACAGTTTTAATGTGACTGTTGAAACTCAGGTCAGAGTCCATGACTACACCTAGATTTCTGGCTTTATCTGTTGTTTTGAACATTGCAGACTGAAGCTCAGCGCTAACTTACACGGTTACGTATTGTAACCCTAGTTATATAAGCACAGGCGGAGCCCTCTACTGGACTCTATGGGTACTACTCTCTACCATGCTATGCGAGCATTCACATACTGAGTTGCATAAACGTAGCCGGCCAATCGGAGCGAGCCTACCTGAATGCGCACACAGGACCACAGTATATAAGGCGGCTACGCCTCCCGACTGTCATCCTACACCCTCTTCAGCGAGCGGCATAGGAAAGACAGGGCCCCCAGGTAGAGGGCTCCGCCTGCGCTTATATAACTAGTGTTACAATACGTAACCCCCCATTATATCTCCACCCACTGTACCCATAGAGTCCAGTAGAGGGTGGAGCCCTGATGGATAAACGCCCTGTCGTCCAACAACATCGACCCATCACACTTCCCCTGACCGGCCTTTGGTTAACAGCCACCGCACCCCAACTTCCTCTCATCCGGTTGTGACCGTGGAGAAGTCGGGGCCGCAGCTTGGATAGAGCACACTCACACACGCTTACCTCGTGTAGAGTGTGCATGGAAAATAGTGAGGATACAGAGCCTCTGTATGGAGTTTACTGCGCAGCATGTTCCCCGAGTCCCTAAGGAGCATGGGAAAAACATAAGTAGACTATGTCCCAGAGGGGGGTCAGATACCTACTGTACTAAACCCATACGTAAAGACCTGAACAAACTCCTTAGGTTCTTGGGAACAAAGGAGGGGTTCGGTCTGAGTGTCGCCCTGCTACGGTCACCCCGGATCAAAAGGCAACTCGGGTGCACCGACAGAGCGGTCAGCTCGGACACTCTCTTGGCCGAAGTCAAGGCAAGCAGCAACGCTGTCTTCCATGACAGTGCCTTTAGGGAGGAGAGCTCCAGAGGCTCAAATGGTTCTGTGACCAGAGCCTCGAGGATGGAGTCAGATTTGGGTCAATATTCTAGCGCACAAAACAAGCTACTCATGAGCGGAAAATGTGCTTTTACACGCGCATGAAATGAACCTCGCGCGCAGATTAAACCCTCTTGCTCGCTCGCGGGAGTGTCAGCCTCACTCGCTCACGGAGTCTGTCTACACGTGCGTGAAAAGTTTCTGATACTTTGGGGCGGAGCCACTGGACTTTGATTGACAGCTGCCAGGAACCCCGGAGTTGCCAGGTTTGATAAATGCCTGAACTACCAAGAGCCGAGGAGTGACAGCTGCAAGATCAGTTGGACGAGATTGATTGGTAAAGTTGTCCATAAAAAACTATTATATTCGTAAAGTGTACAGCTAATATATATATATAAATTAATTTGATATAAAAAAATTACACATTAATTCTAGGAGTGCAATACTTTTACAACCACTATAGTAATAATATGCATTCATTATGACAACATCATACTATTACTATAGGAGTGTTCTATAGTGTGTTCAAAAAACAACTACAGAAACACTATATATTATACTATAGTAGTACTATTTAAAATAATATAGTCTTAATACGGAAACACCAACAAAAACACTATAGTAATACTTTTACAAACACTATAGTAATAAAATGCATTCACTATGACAATATCATGCTATTAGGAGTGTTCTATAGTGTGTT